CGACGTGCGCAGATTCTTCTGCATGGGAGGTAGTGGATCATCCAGAGACAAGAAAGAGATATATTGCGACTGGAGGAAAGTTCAGACAACCCAGACCTAGAGTTTGGTACTTTAATATTGTCAAGAATGAACAAGGTCTCTATACTTTGGCCTGGTGCCAGAATTGTACCATCCATTTTCCTGGTGCAGACTGCCATCCTAGCTCAAGGTGTGTTTCTGCTGGTATTCTGAAGGAGAATGGAAAGAGATTGTTGGTGTTGGATGATCCTGCATTTCCTTTTGTATTTAGAAGGGCTAAAGTTATTCTCCCTGCTTCTACCAAAAATAATTAAGTGAGGTCTCACTGCAATACTAAATAAATGGAGATAATTTATGGATTACCAATTAATGAGAAAGGTCCATTGGATCCTTAAATTGTCATAACAACAGTTTATGATATAATCTCTCCTCATTTATAATGTTATATTTTCTTAATCTCTCTTCTGATCGTATTGTTGGTGGTATGACCAGTATTTGCAATGTTTATTTTCTGATATAATGTCTTCTCATCTCTTAACCTACAGTCTTTCTAAGGTTTTCACACGGGAGAAAGTGTGGTATTCCAACATATCTCCTAACTAGGACAAAGGCTATATATTAATTACAAGTACCTAATTTAACTTCATCAAGTAGTTTTTAAAAATCAATGAATATTCAAATCCGTTTGAATTTATAAGATTCAATTAGATACATTTGTTAAATAAATGGAGTTCAAATATACTATGCTACTAATCCGATATATATCCGATGTATTGAAAACGATATTTTCTAATACAAGTAAGGGAAACCAACCGATTTCGGACTCAGTCTCTAGCTAGAAAAAAACATTAAATAAGACAATGTTAATATTCGAATCAGATAATAAAATAAACATTCTAAACAGAATAGGGTTTTCAAATCCATTACAAAGGCTAAGCAGAAAATTTTAGAATATAAAATCCTTGAAGCCTTCTAGAATAGTTTCAATTATAAAATATTTCAATTCTAAATTATCTAAATATAAATCAACCATATTCGAGAAAACAACTTTCTTAAATATCAACCATTCAATTGTTAATCCTCGTTAAACAACACTTACATACCACAATTCTCTAAGAACTCGACCAAAAAATAAATAAATAAGTGTTTGACAGGTATCGTTTTACATATGTTGTACTATTTACGTACTTAGCATGGATTTAACTCAGTATATATATATATATATATATATATTAGTCCGAAGATACCTCTTATCATTTAATTAATAAAAAGAAAGTAACTTAATTTAAACGCCTTGTGTTCAAGCATGATAACACTTTGTACTCTTCTAAATATTTGACGATGAATTTTCAGGCAAAGATAGGATGAAAAAACAAAGATATCTTCATATCTATAAATGAGCCTCAAAGAGAGAAAGTTACGAAAAAATTAACAAAAGATAGTCTTCTTTGATTTTTCATTAATTGAAGGTTGTTGTGATCGTTCGAAATTGATTTGAATAGGAATCAAAGCTGAACAAGAGGTATATGAAATTCTAACCTAATATTTGAATTTTTAAAATAAAAAATGATAGTAAGTCATAAAATATTTAGATTAACTTATATTTGTTGAATTTCAAGCAAAACCCCTTAAAATATTGTGTTTCTAATGTTTTGAAGTTTTATTATGAATTTTTTTGAAAAACCCTTATTGTTTAATGCAGATGTTTTTTATTAAAAATTGATTATATATGTTGTTATTGGTGGTTCTGAACAACATCCTTAAAAGATACGATGTTTTTAGTTGATTTATGAAATTCTCACAGAGAAACTCTAATTTATTTGATGCAGAATGTTTTAGGGTTTTAAAAGTAAATTAATTCGAAATTAAAATTTTATAGTGTTATTATTGGTTTAAATTAAAGAATGACTCAGCTACATGTTTACCATTAAATTTTTTAATGGTGGTTGTTAGAAAGGATTTTTTTTATAAAAAAAAATAAAATACTTGTAAAACTTATTTAAAAAAATATAGTTGTTTTAATCTTATTTATCAAAATAATATAGTTTTTACCACGTAGACTAAATCTTCTACACATGTTAAATTTTTTTAATGCTAATAATGAGTCATTTAACACATCAATTTTATCTTTTTTCTAAAAAAATTATGTTATCTAATAAGAATCCAACACTGTTTTGTCTATCCTTAGACTACTGCCGTGTCTTATACTTCACTTTGTATATATCAAGTAGTGTCTCCTACTCTCAATAGAAGTTGTATATGTATACATTCAGGTCTGTCTCTACTAGTAGTCTGTCTCTGCAAGTAGTCTTCTATTTTGGCTATAACTCTGTAAACTATAAATAGAGATCTTCAATAAACAAGCAATCATCTTCTGATCACACATAAATCTTTCATGGTATCAGAGCATTAAGAGGTTTAAAAACCCAGCCACCAAACAGCTTAAACAAACCCCTCCTCACATACCAGCACGCACCACAGCTTGTTTTTAAATAGCAGCAGCACACCAGCTTGCACCCTCCTACGTACCAGCTACAGTTCCCTTGTGTGCCAGCCCCCACACACACAACAGGCCTACTACGTGCCAGCCAATACCCCTTGCTAGTTCCTCCTCTTTTTTTACAACTCCACTCATCCATGGCCAACTCAGCTTCAACCCAAACACCTCTTTCTCAAACACTAAGCACTCACCACGCCCTACAGACCCCACCCCAAAACACCACCTACCCTAACATAACACCTCACTTATCCATCAAATTGACCTCTGCAAACTACCTCCTATGGAAAACACAACTCTTGCCATTATTAAGAGGACATAAGCTTGCACATCACATTGATGGCAGCCTTTCATCACCCACCATAACAGACCCAAACTACCCTGACTGGTACACACAAGATCAACTTGTTTTAAGCTGGATCATCAGCTACCTCTTAGCCAATATTGTCACGCAATCAGTAGGAGTTAACACTGCACGTGAAGCTTAGAACAAACTTGCCACTGTGTACTCCTCAGGCTCTAGAACTCAAGTCTGTCAACTTCACACCAGCCTGATTGAACTCTCACAAAGGAATGATGACATCCCAACCTACATGCAACGGGCTAAGGAAATTTCAGATCGCCTTACAGCACTGCAGCATCCCATTCCAAAAGAAGACCTAGTGGACTATATCTTACGAGGCCTAGGTTCAGCATATCGACCCTTTGTGCGCAACATAGAAGCAAGGCTTACACCAGTGTCCTATGATGATCTTTTCTCCCTACTGTTGAGTGAAGAAGTGCAACTTGCACGCCATGAACATCCATCAGAAATAGTGCTTCCAACAGCACAATTCTTTGCCCGAGGATTCAATCCCTTATGTGGAAGAGGCCGCTATCGTGGCAGAAACAAAGGACCTAGTTTTGGCAGATCCCAATCCACATACCCAACCACAGATAGAAATAATAGCACCTCAAATACTTGCTACAATTGCAAAGGTATTGGCCATAATGCCACCCAATGTCCCTCCCCGAAACAGTAACATGATAGACGGAACCCCAAACATGAATCCCACTTGGCATCTAAACGTTCCAGCCCTAAATCTCCACAATCATGGGTTATTGACACCGGAGCTATGCATCATCTGACAGTCGATATGGAAAACATGGGCATTCACTCTGAGTATAACAGTCCTGAAGAAATCACAATTAGCAATGGTAAAACACTTCCTATTACTTACACTGGTTCCACTACCTTTTTCATCAATATTACACAATTTTCACTTGATAATATTCTTCTTGTTCCCCAAGCCTCTAACAATCTGCTTTATGTTAGTGCCTTTACAAAATCTAACAATGTTTCTCTTGAATTTTTTCCTTCTTATTTTCTGATAAAGGACATCCACACCAAGCAGATTTTACACATGGGGGAGCTTAATGATGGGCTCTATTCAATGCCACTTAGTCCATCTCCGAAAACCTTTCCACAAGTCTTTTTGAGCTCTCTGTCTACTTGGCACGCTCGCTTTGGCCATGCATCATTCAAAACAATGCAAAAAGCCCTTAGTCAGTCCAATATTCATGTGTCTACTCGAGATGTTCCATCTCTTTTCCATGCTTGTAGTGTTGGAAAAATTCATAAGTTACCCTTTCCCGAGTCCTCTTTTCAAGCGTCCGGTCCTTTAGATTTAATTTGCTCCGATCTCGTGGGGCCCATCTCCCGTTCCTTCTCTCAATAGAAACTTTTATTATGTTTTATTTTATGATCATTTCAGCAAATATTCATGGATCTATTTTATTAAGTACAAATATGAGGTTATCAACTTGTTTTATCAAATTTAGGCATATAGTTGAAAAATCTTTTGGCGGATCCATAAAGGCATTCCAAGCTGATTGGGGAGGAGAGTTTCAAAGCCTTGCTAAATACTTATCCGATAATGGCATTACCCATCGGAGTTCCCGTCTTAAAACCCCCGAACAAAATGGGTGAGCCGAAAGGAAACATCAACATATTACCGAAACAGGACGAGCATTACTCCACCGTGCCTCCATTCCACTTAAATTTTAGGAACATGCCTTCTCCACTTGTCGTTTACTTCATTAATCGTTTACCCACACCTCGTCCGGCCCATAAAACTCCATTTGAAATTCGTTTCACCGAGTCACCAAATTATGATACGTTACGTGTATTTAGGTATCTCTCGCTATCCTTGGTTAAGACCCTACACTAGAAATAAGTTAGAACCTCGGTCCCGAAAGTGTGTCTTCCTTAGGTATAGTCAATCGCATAAAGGGTATAATTGTTTTGATCCTATCATAAATAAAATCTTTGTCTCACATCATGTTTTGTTTGATGAACGAGTTTTTCCATATCATGATGGCAAATCCAATGACCCGTATCCTCGGAAACCCATGATGTTGTCCCACTACATCCACTACCCATACCCACCGGTAGTCCATCATCGGGCCTTTTTTGCCCTACGACCTCTCATCTCACCATACAACCATGCACACCCGTAAGCCTACCGGCCTCAACAAGTCCGTCGGCCCCACGGTCGCCTCAACTTACGAGCCTACCCACAAGCTTGCTCGACTCCAAGGTGTGCTTGACTCACGAGGAAAATACACCAGCCCGACCGACCTAACTCAAAACACCCATCTCCCTCTCCTTCACCTATCCAATTAGAGATAGACCTCACTCGGTTATCTCCCACCCTCTCAACCTCAAAACCTGCAGACAACCATCTCACCCTATGAAAACTCGATCCAAGACAAGCCACAAGCAAACCCAAAATGTTCCACACCACCCATGCATCCATTGCACCAACTTGCTACACCACTACCGCCAAATATCTAATATGGCGCCAAGCAATGGATGAAGAAATGCGAGCACTAAAGTCCAATCGCACATGGACCTTGGTTCCTTGATCTCAAGCATCCAATATTATGGAGAATAGATGGGTTTATAGAATCAAAAGGCTACGGGATGGGTCCGTGGAAAGATACAAAGCACGGTTTATTGCAAAGAGGTTTCACCAAAGACCGGGCATTGATTACACGGACACCTTCAATCCCGTTGTCAAACCAACAACGAGTGAGACTAATTCGTCCATTACGGTAACGAATGGGTGGAATGTGCAGCATATGGATGTCTTCAATGCTTTCCTCCATGGAGATCCGGAAGAGCTAGTATACATGGAGCAACCACGAGGCTATATTGATCCCGACTTTCCCCACCATGTCCGCTCATTGAAGAAGTCACTCTATGGCCTCAAACAGGCCCCTAGAGCATGGTACCAATGTCTCATAACAGAACTTGTTAATCTTGGCTTTCGGGGATCCAAGTCGGATACATCTCTGTTCATATACACAACGAGTAAAGACATACTATATTGCCTTATATACGTGGATGATATATTGGTCACCGGCACAAGTGAGAACCTTGTTCAACGTGTTAAAACACTACCGCAACAAAAATTTGCTATCAAAGACCTAGGCAAGCTTGATTACTTTCTAGGCATTGAAGCTCACTAGACAAAGGGAGGACCGATCTTAACTCGGTCGAAATATATCGAGACATCTTATGAAGGGCAAACATGCATGAAGTCGGTCTAGTTTCAACTCCAAGCATGTACCTCGGTTAAGCTGCCGAATGCGGGAACTCCTTTTGAAAATCCAACTTTGTTTAGGAGCATAGTAGGAGGACTCCAATATCTAGCCTTAACACACCCGGACATCTCCTTTGCAATAAAAAAAGTTACCCAATTTATGCACACTCCGACGAATGTGCATTAGGGGCCGTGAAGAGGATCCTACGTTATCTTGGTTCTACAACCGACCATGGTTTACACATCAAACCGACAACATCCTTGCACATAAATGCCTACACCGATGCGGATTGGGGAGGTGGATGTTGATGATCGAAAAAACACAACTCGGATATGCTATTTATCTAGGTAGCAATTTGGTGTCTTGGTGCTCCAGGAAATAAAGAACAGTCGCATAATCATCCACGGATGTAGAATATCGTGCCCTTGCAACCACAGCTTTAGAGGTCACCTGGATACGATCGCTCTTGAAAGAAATAGGTATTACATTTTCTATGGCTCCTATCATTTGCTTCGCGATAACATATCGGACACCTATGTTGTTGCAAATCCGGTGTTTCATGCTCAATCAAAACACTTGAAAATTGACTTCCATTTTGTCGGAGACAAGGTGAAAAAGAAGGAACTAGTTGTCAACTTCATCTCCACAAAGGATCAAATTGCGGATCCGCTCACTAAAGCCTTATCCAAACGGCAGTTTCTACTCTTACGGGACAAGCTAACTCGCAAATTACGAGCTCGACTTGAGGGAGGATGATAAGAATCTAACACCGCCGTGTCTATCCTTAGACTACTGCCGTGTCTTATCCTTCACTTTGTATATATCAAGTAATGTCTCCTACTCTCAATAGAAGTTATATATGTATACATTCGAGTCCGTCTCTGCAAGTAGTCTTCTATTTTGGCTATAACTCGTAAACTATAAATAGAGATCTTCAATAAACAAGCAATCATCTTTTGATCACACATAAATCTTTCATTATCATCCTAAATTCTACGTTTTTCATCTTTTCTTTACAATCGAAAAAATCTCTTTTGTTTTTTCAATCTTTGCCATGGTCGATATCGAGAAAAAACAAGTTAGAGTCCACATCGAGTGGTCGATCATTTCCCGATTGTCATATAGGAAAAACACAACCTATGTAGAGAGACGCTCTCGGTTGTTAGAGTAACATAGAATTATGTAAAGATGGTCGTTTCTCTTGCAGCACTACAATCAGCACCTATTACTCTCTACCTCCCTAAAAAATGCCCAAATCTTCATTCTAGAAAACTTAGCAAAATGTCACCAATTCAATGTTTTTTTATCGGTTTCAACCCATTCAAAAACACCATAGTTTGATTTAAAGACTTATTGGACAACCTTGATTCAAGAAATCAATCAAAAACTAGACCAAGCCGTTCCTATTGAGTATCCGAGATAAGATTTATGAAGCCATGAGGTATTCCGTTCTCGCTAAAGGTGCTAAAAGAGCTCCTCCTATTATGTGTATTGCTTCTTGTGAGCTCTTTGGTGGTAATCATCTTGCTCGCCTTCCCTATTGCTTGTGATCTTGAGATGGTAACAAAATTAAAAACCCCCATCTTTGAATTTTTTTTATTCTTTTTTAGTATTTTTTTTGTTTTTTAATTTGGTTCGGTTTTTGAGTTTTTTTTTTTTTATGCTGTTTAGTAAATTATAATCTTTTTTTAGGAACTTAATCAAGAAAATTATTGAATTGTGACTACTATTGGGTAAAGTGGGTTAGGTAGGTTCTTTGATTGCACTCATTAATTTTGTTACATGGGGTTTCCGTGACAATTGTTCTTATTTACATGTGATATAGGAAATGAGAAGCTAATATTGGTGTGAATTTTGATATATTGATTGTCATTGAGAAGTTAAGCTATTAAAGGAATCTCACTTAAAACTCTAATCTTGAGTTTGGAGGACTGATAATGTTACGATGTCTAATAATATTGAGCAACTTTAAGGTTTTAAGTGTGATATGTGATACAATGATCGTTCTTATTTGCAATCTTTTCATTTGAAGAAGGATTCAGGGTGCTTCTTTTTAGATAGAAATATTTCGATTTCAGTTTGTCCTGCACAGTTGATCAGAGAATAATGTGAAATTTTGCTTTTAACTTGCTGCTTCCTATACTGAGGAACAACTCTATCTATAAAAAGGAGAATGATAACACTTGAAGTATTTCCATTATTTTGGCAAAAAAGGAGAACAACTCTATCTACACATTTGTTTGCTGAACTTTGCAGGTTAGCAATGATTATACATCAATAAATGTCTATGTACGTGTTGTCTGCATGCTTTACCATTACCTTATTCAAGTACCTGCAGGAAGAAGGAAGGCAGCAATCAGATGGACAAAGCTCTCCGAGTTCTTGGTAAGGAAGAAATTCATCTACTTTTTGAGTATGTACGTGAATAGAATACAAAGCCAAAGTTGTGTCACGTTGCACAATATGTGTTGTTTGGAGTTTTCAACACCCTTCCTCTAACAGAGATTCTTGAGGTGACTGCTTGACTTGTCATTAATTCAATTATTCACAGTAACACATGCATAACAAGCATTTCACTGGATTCTATGACAATCTCTCATGGCTCCACTGTTTCAACTGAGCATAGAGATGGTCCATAGCATGCTTCATATCATAGGCTTTTAATTACTAGTTAAGTATGAGGCAGCCTCGGTGAAGATACTCATACATCAGATTTTGAATATAGAACGACCCAAATATTGAAATCTTTTTAATAATATTTGTCGCTTTATGTTCGATTACTTGTTTTGGCGTCCATTACAATGCGATTAAGGATGAATAATTTATAATTGATTCCTCAAAGCTTGTTTTTGTGTTTGTGTATGCAATCATAAACTTGTTGCATTTTGCAAAATCCATGAATCTAGCTTTTTGGTTTAGTGAAGATTCTGAGGTGTGCCACAATTTCCTTCGGGAACATAATTAAGTGGTTGATGTGAATTTTTTCAATCACTCTTGGTTGCTGAAAGGATAATGTTATTGGTCAAAACTTCACAGGATCTAACAATTGACTGTTTTAGTTTACTTTTGTAGAAGAATGAAATTAATCAAAAATCATTTAAATAATTTGTCAACTTTTAAATGTGCACTTCTAACTTAGCTGTTTGATGGTTTTGATGTTCAGATTAGAAGCTTCGGGGAACTCCTTGAAGGTCTTATCCCATATTCTCAGAGGCATTTCAGCAGGATAGACAGACTCGTGAGAAGCACATTTTTGCTCGACTACACCCTAAATGGAATGCCAGTAATTGAACTAGATACTAATGGTGCAGAAATGAAAGAAGCTGATACTAAGCTTTTGGTAGAAAATGTTGATCAAGAGCAAGAATTTACTTCAGAAATTGAAAGAGAAGGCTCCTTCAAAGAAACGGAAATCAAACAAATCTAAAGACAGTTCACGTAAGAAAGTCAAGAGTACTTCTTACACAAGTCTAGCACCAATTTCGTTACCGGCATAAAAACACAACACAATATAAGGCGGCTTTCACTGAAGATAATGTTTTTGACCTAGAATTTCGTAGAAAATGTCTTCCATTCCCCCCAAAAAATTTTAAATAGGTATTTAATTTCGCACTTGGCTGAATTAATTGATAGATGCCATGCACTTGTTGTAACATAAACGTTGTATGCAAATTCATATTTCTATGAGAACGTTGATTATCTTTGTTGTCAAAATCTGATAACTCTATTTCCCATGTTCATGTGAGTGTTGTGTACGAGAGTTTTCTATTCTGGGGAAGTGAATGAGTTGAAACTTGGTTTTATGGCATATCTTGCTCTAACGATTGATTGTTCAATTGTCCAAGTCCATGCGAGTGTGGGAAGTGCAGCACTCAAAATGGTCAAAGAGGTTCGTCGACAATTCAATACTATTCCAGGGCTCATGGAAGGTACAGCCAAACCAAACTGCGCAAATTGTGTCAAAATTTCAACTGATGCCTCCCTCAGGGAGATGATCCCACCTGGTCCTTTGGTTATGCTTACACCACTCATCACTAGAACCTTATTTGGAGTTGAAACTCTTGCTGTTGTTCTTGCTGGTGCTTTGATTTATAATTCATGCATATGCTCACTTCAATATTTTGACTCCCATTATTTACAAATTAGTGGTTGCTCAACTTGTCTCTGCTGACATCAGACGTGGGTCGCTGTGATTTTTAGGAGAAGAGAGGAGGGAAAGCATGAGCACGACACAACAAAAGAGGACGGGAGGAACCAATTACGATAGACACTTAAAATTAACAAGTTCTCTTTTAAACTTGTGAGAGCATTTAAACTTTAAAAAATTAGAATAAAGATAATAAAAGAGTGACAAAGAAAGCTTAAGTTAATTTTTTTCTTTTATGTTTCTAATTTTGTTAAATTATTATATTAAATATATATTATAATACTTAATTAAAAAGATGACATGGATGCTCGTATGGCAAAACTATCCTATTTATTAAATAAGATTTACAATATCTTATTTTGAAAAAAATGAATTAAAAAATACTTTATTTAAGGAAAAAAAACTTGTTAGAAAGTGGTGGCATTCAAGAGTTTTTCTTTAAAATAGGATACTTCTAAATCTTATTTGCAAAAATAAGATTGTTTTAATATTATTCGTCAAAATAACATAGTTTTTATCACGTAAATCAAATTACCTACTTAGTTTTTTTATTTGCAATACACTTGTTTCGTTAGTTATGATTACCGAGATAAAATTAAATACTAGTAGATCCAATCCTATCAACTCATCAACAAGATTCAGAAACAATTGTTTTAGTAAAACTAAAATAAATAAACCCCCAAGAACCGAGTAACTCTATTAGCAATTTCTTTTTGATTTTTCTCTGATTTTTCCCTGTTGAGTACAACATAGAAAAAGAGGACTCTATTTAAGAACATTGAGAGATAGTTTTAGACTGAGAAATGTAGAGACATTACAGCTCCCAAAGCCTAGAGGATATAAAATAATATTTTACTCTGAAAGACAATTACTATAGACACTTAAAATTAACAAGTTTTCTTAACAGCTTTTCCCACTCTAGTTTTAGAGAGTATTTTTCTACCAGATATTTGCATAAGGCTCATAAATAAGAGAGGAAAGTTTAGAACTTAAATTCATTTATTATAAATCTTTTCAATGCAGAATTTTTATTGTTATTAATTGATGTAATTGGATTTCTATAATTCCCCAGATTGAGTTGGAGATGGCTACTTACATTCTCCTCTTTACCATCATTTTCTTTACTTCTGTTTTGTGCTACTGTACCAGAATCTCCAAAATATTTATGGATGAAACGTCGAATAAATGATGATTAGAAGCTTCTGGAGAAGATGGCATTGGTCAACCGATCAAAACTCCTCCCGGGAAGCTTACGATTGGAATGGAAGAAAACTCTGTCCCATCAGAATATTCTCCTCTACTATCTTCAAATAAAAAGAAAGATTTAGATTTTAGATCAGGCTCCTCACCATTTGTTATGTTTTTCTCATCGAAACATATACGAATGACAATTTTTTTGTGGGAGTTATCCTTTGAAAATGTGTTCTCATATTATGATATCATATTGCTGACTTTAGAACTAAGTAATGAGCAAAGCAAATGCAGCTGAACTATCATGCAATCAGTAAATCTTGAAGGTTTATTTATTTTGTCTTTGCTAAAGTAATTGTTTTTAGTTCTTGTTGAAGAGCTAGTGGGATTGAATCTACTAGTATTTAATTTTATCTAGTAATCATAACTAATGAAATGAGTGTATTGCAAATAACATTTGCTTCTAAAATTTTATAAAATTATTAGTGAATTTAGCATTAAAAAAGCTGACATGTGTAGGTGATTTGATTCAAACAACAAAAAGTACCTTGTTTTGAAAAATAAGATAAAAACAACCTTATTTTTTGCAAATAAGATTAAAAGTATCATATTTCGAAAGGGAAAAAAAATCCTCTAGCATTGAAGGTGTCATAACCTATTTTTGGACCTTCAAAATTAATTAGGTTCAATTCCTCTATTTTATTTTATTATTATTATTATTATTTAGTTGTCAATGATCCATGAATTTTAATTTAGTTCTATTTTTAGTTAGGTTTTAATGATTTTTTTTTTTAATTTTTGAATATAAAACAAAAAGCAAAAAAAAAAAAAAAAAGAAGATATTGTTAGCTTCTTTTGAAATTTATGTTCTTTTTTCATAAACAAAAAAATACAAAAAAAAAAAAATAGAGTTAATTTCACATTTAGCGATTCAATCGCAATTCACGAATATCGAAATCTTGGGGAACAATTAAGAAGAAATTGAAGTGTAATTGAAAAGAATGAAAACTAGAGGAACCAAAATAATTGACTCCGGGGATTTAGTTGAAGAAGAATTGAAATGAGGAGGGATGAAATTGAAAGGATCTTACGGATAGCGGGATGAACATGAACGTTTTGCAAAGAATGATTTATCGTCCGGTGCCTTAAATTCTCTAAAAACCCACCAACCATGCAATGTACTTCTCCCTTATCGTCCTCTACACCAAGGCTGGTTTTATAATATATGTGGTCCTAGGCAAAATAATATTTTAGAGATTCTTTCAAAAAACAAATAAATATTAAACATTATTTAAATTTTATTTTTCTTGCTTTCCGAGATACAAAATCTCTAATTAAATTTTTATATTCAAGTTTACAAAACAAATCTTTTTCAATTGATAATATAACAAATTACTTAATCTTTCTTGTGACATAGTTGAACGTAAATAAGATTTTATTAATCTTAATTTTGAAAAACTTTTTTCAGCCGAAGCTACGAGTAATAAAGATAGTTAATAGTATTCTATGTGCTATCCATGCATTTGGAAAAGAATTTACCTTTTTTATAAAATTTAGTATGGCAAGTGGTGTTTTCATTTCCATAGTTATAATTTCTTTTAAACTTTTTAATTCTAAAAATAAACCTAAACCATCAATATCGAAAGCATATTGTGCTTTAGAAAGTTTTCAAGATTTAAATAATTTTTTTTCAAAATATCATCATCAAGTGATTTTAATTTTTCTACACTATAAAGAAAACCAAAATTATCTTCATATATTTTAAATCGTTCAAACCTATTTTGAAGAGAGGAAATCACATGATCAACTAAATATGTAAAATAATTAATTGTAAAAGATTCTTCAACGAGAAAATTTCATGTCTTCATTTTCAATCTCATCAAATTGTTTCTTTTTAGTAGACATTTTATTCAAATAATAAAATTAAAATATAATTATAAAAAGAGTAAGAAACTTTGGCACCCAATTATATTTGCTTGCCACACCTAATCAAGTAAACCCGGAGAGAATCACCCGAGAAAATAAAAAAAAATTTGAGAAAAAAATATAATATTATATGATTTATATACATAATTTTATTTGCATAACTTAACAAATTACCTTCGATTCTTACGCCAAGCTAATTAGAAAAGGTTTTATAAGAGATCCCCGATTGTTTGAAGAAATAAAGGAATATAATAACACAATTTGGAGATATAAAAATTGTTTCACTCACAAATATTTTTTTGAAACTTTTCCGTAAGTAAAAATGTCTCACTAAAATAAAAATTGAAAGCTTTTATAAGTAGAAGGTAACTGAAAGGACATCTAGAAAAGGTAGAATTTTTAACCTTGAAATAATTTCTCCGAATAATAGGAGTCTTTCAATACGGGAACTCTAGTACCTATGACCTATTAATAGAGAGAAGAATGGTGTCTCATACTTAGGTGAAGGCAGCACTTTTTAATTCATCTCATTCTTCACGGGTGTAGGTTTAGGGTAAAATTTTAATTGGAGCCCCCTTTCTATAGGGGCCACTAGGCATAGGCCTTAATTTATCTCATTCCGCATATTACACATGTAAATCTAAGACATGTTCCTTTGTTTGTTATTCTAGGAATGCATGTATGAATCTTCGCCTTGAGCCAAGTTCAGCATGAATTTCCCTAGTTATCTTCTTGCCCAGAGTCGGCGACCTCTATTCGGTAAGGATGCTTAATATCTAACTTGTATGCTTTAGGCTTCCAAGAGCATGAATACACATAGAAAGTTAGGATAGGCTATCTCGGGTTTTCATTTGATAAATTTGGAAATAGCATAAATTAAGGGAGAAGTGCGGACGGGGAATGCTATAGGAAGAAGAAAGGAAACGCGGAAGAGGTCGGGCTCAATCTAGCTCGAAGAGAACGAAGAAAAGAAAGCTTGGTGCTAGGCTCAACCCGACTGCGAAAAAAAAAAAAGAATCTAGCTAGGGCTTAGCCTAGGTTGTATGAGCCCAAAAAGGGAAAATGGGGGAGGGGGTTGATCCATTAGGCTCGGCCCAATGGCCGATTGGCCCAAAAAGCCCAATACTCTTAATTTAGTCATTTTCTAGATAAATCGACCTTGAAATTCTCTATTCATGATTTTTATTTTACGCTTTTTAGTTTAGGTTTAATATTTTGAATTGTTGATTTTTTTTTACATTTATTTATTTACTTAGTCAAATATTTAATTTTAGTTTAGTTTAGGTTGTATTTCAATAACTAGATTAGATAATTAATAAGTAGATGAGTCATCGAGTCTCTTAATCTTAGAAACCGATAATGACTCTCCATCAACACCAATAAAAAAATAATAATAATGACAAACAAAAATATAACAAGGGAGAGAAAATATTAGTTAGATAAAAAAAAATAAAAGAAAAGGAAGGGAAATAAAAAGAAAATGATAAGAAAAAAATGAGAGAAAATAAAAAAAAATGAGAGAGATGAAAAAATAATAAAAGAGAAAATCTTAAATGAAAAAAAAAATATAGAAAGTACTATAAAAAATATTTAACAAAGTCTCTTATCTAATAAGGACTAATGTTAACCCAAATCAATCACTTTAGTATTTTAGTTGTTCTCTAGTTTATCTATTAGGTCGAAACTTAAATTGGATTCGATGTTGATTTATTGTAACGTTCGACGGAGGTGTTCGATGATTGTTTCCATATGATGCCATAAATAAAACTAAAAAAAATTAATTTAGTTTAGAAAATAAAACTTGAAATTTTGATTTAGGATCAATCTTTAAAAAAAAAAAAATTAGGAGCTCAACTTTAGGGCTAAACTAGATGTGATACATTTTCTTGGAAATGATGCTTTTTGAT